GCTATATCTCACGGTTTCTAGGCCTGATATATCTTATGCAGTTCACAAGCTTAGCCAATACATCTCTCAACCTCATCAGTCTCATTTACAGGCCGTTCACTTTCTCCTTCATTACTTGAAGGGTACTCCGGCTCAAGGTATTATGTTACAGTCATCTTCCTCATTTCTGCTACAGGCTTTCTCTGATTCAGATTGGGCTTCGTGCCTTGATTCTCGCAAGTGTACTACCGGATTTTGTGTGTTATTGGGGTCTTCTCTTATATCATGGAAAGCGAAAAAACAGACCATGGTTTCCAGATCCTAGGCCGAATACCGTGCGTTGGCTTCTACAACCACTGAGCTTATTTGGCTTACTCAGCTTTTGTGTGATTTGCAGATTCGGTCCAAAAGCTATTATCTTTTGTGATAAGCAGGCTGCAATACACATTGCCACCAATCCTATGTTCTATGAACGTACGAAACATATTGAACTCGACTGCTATTTTATTCGGGAGAAAGTTGCTGCTGGGTTTGTTAAGTTGATGCCTATTCGGTCACAACATCAGTTGGCTGATATTTTTACTAAACTCCTCCCTGTTACTTCTTTTCAGTCATTGTTATTTAAGATGGGTGTTGTTAATATTTTAGCCCCATCTTGAGGGGGAGTATTAGACTATATTCTATCACTTAGTAATAGTTTGTTATTACAGTTGTTACGTTTCAGTTGTGTTAGTTACACGTATAAGTGTGTACATAAGGAATAGACCTCCATTATCAGTGAATATTACTGATGTTTTATTTACCTTTCAGTCTTAATAAACACTTTATACCCTTGCTATTTAACCAATAAGAATAAGATAAAAAAGTTTGTTAGAGTTAATGTGTATGTGATAGACTTTTAGAACAAAAATTCAATGATAATATTTTTGTTTATGCAAGAATTCGCACAACGGTTACTTAGCTCGAACCCAATCCTAGCTTCGACCTAAAAGATGGGGAAGACCTGCTCCAAAGGGTAAAATCTCCGACGCTCAAGTCAGTAGGTAGCTCGGACTCAATATTAAGTTCGAGAAGAAAATTCCTTACCTGATGGTGAAAAGGGACCCTCTATTTATAAGTTTAGGTCCCGACAGGGGTCGCGACAGGCAGTTACCTTGGTCGGTTTTGAGGTCGAAAATCTCGAGTTTTAGCATATCGTGCTCGAATATTTTAGAAGTTGTAACGTAATTGGGAGTGTTGAATCTCTCTCCTCGAAAGGTTCCGAGGAGAGATTTTACTAGGCAGGTCTTTTTAACAATTTCTTTTGTTTTCAACCAATCTCTGTCCTTCACGTGGCAATTGGATATTTTATCCCTAAACATTGGCCCCCTCTCTACCGGGTTCGATCTCGACCTGGCAGAGAAATTTCATTGCTACTATTCCAGACAGACCAATCCACGTGGTGACTCGGGCATTCAATTTATTTAATTTATTAGTTGTGCTGTTGGGGAATCTCGAAAGTAGAACCGGCGAGCGGCGCGCACTCGAGTACACAAGGCGTTTGGAATTCTTCCGATCTATGACGTCCGTTTTCGGACACGTGTGCGGTTGAGATTAAACTTCGGGTTACTATAAATACCTCCACGGTTTTGTTTCCACTTTTTACGGTATATGAAATCTTGGAGTCCGACCTGATCAGATAGGAATTCTTGCTCTAGGTCAGTTGCGTTCTTTTAAATTCGTCTTTTATTTTCTCCTCTTAGTTTTCGTGTCATGTCGGAGTTTCCTAGTTCTTCCTCTCTTAGTAGCCCATCTAGTGACGTAGGTCGGAATCAGACTATAGGAGGAAGAGATAGAGAATTTTAGGTTTTCTAATGACGAAGGGGACGATAGTGACACTTCCACCTTGGGTCAAGGCTTACAATACCCTTCCCAGATGCCCGAGAATTACCTCGGCCCTCTTCATAGGAAGTATAGTATTCCAGATGACATCGTCCTTAGGCTTCCCAAGGAAGGTGAGAGAGCTGACAATCCTCCAGATGGGTGCGTAACCCTTTACCTGAAAATGTTTGAGTACGGGTTTCATCTTCCAGTTCACCCCTTAGTGCAGGAGTTTCTGTTCTGAACTGGACTAGCTCCTGCGCAAGTGGCCCCCAACGGATGGGGAGTGGTCTGTGGTCTTGCCGTGTTATTTTGGCTTAGATGTAAAGAAGTAGACGACCTTGACCTCCTTGACATCGAGCAGCTTTTAACTTGTTTCGAGGTCAAGCGCATCTCCAAAAAGCCGAGGAGGTACTACTTGTGCATTCGGAAGGGCGCAGGAGGTATTTTAAAAGGGCCAACCTCAATAAAGAAGTGGGTCGAGAAATGGTTCTTTGCCTCCAGAGCGTGGTTAGCCAAGAACGAGTCCGACTTGTCTTTCCACAACGTCCCCCGTAGGTTTGGGAACTTAGGTAACGGGTCGAGACTTTTCTTGTTCTTGGTTTTTCCTCTTCATGGTCTAACTCGTGCTTTTCTGCCAATTTCAGTTGCAGTTCGACCGATTCCCCAACTCTCTGAGCCGACCTTCAACGCCTTGAAATATTTCAAAGATCGATTCAAGAGTGGTAAGCAGATTGGAACCCTTGTAACAAATAAGCTTCTACTCACCTCAGAGCTACTCGACTACAACCCTCTCTTATCCCCACCTTCTGCTCATAGACCATACTCCGAACTCGGTGAGTTACCTTTGTTTACATCCTTACCGGACGCTTTTTGCATCCCTAGCTTCTAACTTGCAATTTACTTTCCTTTGCAGCCATGGTTTGTGGATTTTCCTAGAGCGTGAAGCGCAAGCGCTCGAGTGCTAAGAAGGCTACCAGAAACACTGAGGCGCCCAGCCCCACGATAGCCGACCTTCCTGCTGAGGTCGAGGTGGTCGAAGCTGACAATGCGGTTGCTTCGAMCGAGGGAGCAGTCGCAGAGAGGGCCTCGCAGGATCAGGAGATCCTCGAAGTCCCACCCCTTAGGGAGGTCCGGATGAGGGCTTCTCCCAAGAAGTCCAAAAAGAAGAAAAGAAGGACCTATCATTCCAGGACGAGGTTAGGGAAGTGGGTGGTGGCGAGCAGGTCAGTCCTTTTGGGGATCTGGTGGATGATCCTCAGGCCAGGATAGGCGGTACCTCCAACCTCGAGATGAAGTTCAAGATCGAACCCTTCAGTGCTTGGGTGTAGGAGAGAGCTATGGATATTTCGAGCTCTTGCTTCAACCGCTGCTGGAGGAGAGCTTCAAAATTCGTCAGCACTCCGGGCTCGACCATCCAGTGCTTGTTGGATAACACTGCCGAGGTACGACCTTGCTTTCTCTCTCCTTCTAAGTCCTTGGGGCCTTACCTCTTGCGCTAACTCTGTCCTCTTCCGCTTACCACTGTAGGCTCACGCTGCGGCTTGTCAAACGGCATTCCTGGTGAAGGCCGAGCTGGAAGGGCGCGACCTTCTCACTGTGAAAGAGCGAGAGGCTTCTTCCGCTGCACTGGAAGCTGTGTGGCTCTAGAAGGAGAGCTCAGAGAAGCCCGAGCTGAAGCCCAGCTGCTGAAATCTACCTCCGAGACCGACAAGGCCGAGCTTAGACGTGTCAAAGCTGAAGCCATCCGGCACCTAGACAACCTCTGGGGTGCGCATGCCGTAGCAAAGTGCCTCGAGAAGGAGAAATTTGCCTTGATGAAGGAGAACGACGAGCTCAGACGCCTCCGAGAAGACCTGGAAGGCAAACTTCAAGACTGCCACTCCGAGATGGCAGATCTACAGGCCAAACTTGCGTTGGCAGAGTCCAAACTTACCAACGGGGTTCTCTTGGAGGAAACCTTTCGCCAGCATCCTGACTTCGACAACTTTGCAAAGGATTTCAGTGATGCAGGCTTCAAGTTCCTTATGAAGGGAGTCAAAGAGGTGGCTCCCGAGCTCGACCTTGAACCCATCAAGCTTCGATACACTGAGAAGTGGGCCTCGAGGTCGAATGGAGCCCCTAACCCCCAGGACCGTGTTGACTGCTGCTTGAAGGAGCTTAACTTTGACGCTGAGTTCGAGGAGGAGGAGGATGATGATCCTTCTTCCCAAGACGCTAACGGGACTCTTCCTTCTGCTGCCGGCGCAAACTCCACTCAGGAAGCTGGGATGACCGACTCTCAGGAGGTTGACATCCTCGGGTCCCAAGGGGAGCTAGGATCGCACCTCAGAGACAGCTAACCCACTTTTCTGCCTTTTACAGATTTTGTTGTGCTTATTTCCTGCCTTGCATTCCATTTTTGTACTTGGTCACGAGGTCTATAAACCTCAGCCAAACCTTTGAAATCAACGAACTAAGCTTTTTCAGACTAATGCATTTCTTTTTCTAAAGAGCTTTTGAGTTTCTCTTGAGTCCTAACCCACCTCGGGCCCCCAATTAATTTCACATTGAACTAGCACCCTTAGGAGAATGAAATTAAATAGCACGGAGTCCCTTACTGGGTTGGACTAGGGTTAGGCCCTGTAAACTTTTGCAAGTCCAATCCGCTTTTGGACCATTTTAACATTTCAAGGATAATATCTCTTCAAATGCTCTGCGTTACATGGATGCGATAGCAGGTTTCCTTTGAGGTCCGCAAGCATATACGTTCCAGGTCGGACAATACCTCTGACTTCGAATGGCCCCTCCCAACTCGGCTCCAACACTTCGACGTGCTTTTGTACTTTGCGAAGGACTAGATGTCCGACTTGGAAACTCTGAGGTCGAACTTTCGCGTTATAGTGCCTTGCCATTCGGTTTTGGTACTCGGCCAAGCGTAGCTGGGCCATTTCTCTTTTTTCATCGACGAGGTCAAGGTTCAAGAGTAGCTCCTCTTCATTCCTAACTTGTTCGTAGTACTCAACCCTTTCAGTTGGCATACCGATCTCGACGGGCACCACGGCCTCGGAGCCAAAGGCCATTGCGAACGGGGTTTCCCCAGTTGACTCTCGCGGGGTAGTTCGGTAGGACCAAAGTACTTCAGGTAGCTCCTCTGCCCACCGTCCTTTCCTTGCGTCGAGTCATAACTTGATTCCGCGCTTGATAATCTTGTTTACCGCCTCCACTTGTCCGTTGGCCTTAGGCTGAGCCGGGGACGAGAAGAGATGACTAATTCCGAGCTTGCGGCAAAAGTCTTTGAACTTGGCATTGTCAAACTGCCTGCCATTATCTGTCACGATGGCATTAGGTATGCCGAAGCGGCACAAAACGTTTGTCCAAATGAAGTTTGTGACCCTAGCCTCCGTAATTGTCGAGAGCGCTTCGGCCTCAGCCCACTTGGTGAAGTAATCTACTGCCACAACTGCGTACTTGACCTATCCCTTGCCCAACGGGAAGGGTCCAATAAGGTCGACTCCCCACCGTGCAAAGGGTCAGGGTGTCGAGATCGGAGTCAGCAGCTCGGCAGGCTGGTGGACGAGGTTCGCAAAGCGCTGACAATTGTCACATGCCTTCACGAACTCCTTTGCATCTTGATCCATCGTGGGCCAGTAGTAGCCTTGACGAATGACCTTTGCCGACAAAGATCTAGCCCCCAAATGGTTACCACAGACTCTCTCATGAACTTCCCTAAGAACATAATGTCCATCTTCCTCGAAAATAAACTTAAGGAGGGGCAAGGAAAAGCCGCGCCGGTACAGGGTTCCATCTCGGAGCAAGTACCGAGCTGCTTTCCTCGTCATCTTCTTGGTTTCCCTCGGGTCTGCTGGAACCTTTCCCCCCAGGAAGTCTTTTATTGGCTCCATCCACGACGAGGGATGAGAGTCGATCTCCATCATATCCAACTCCAAAATAGAAGGATTGTCTAAAATTTCCACGGGGACCGACCTCGCCAGGTCAGTCTCGTATGGTGACGCTAACTTAGCTAAGGCGTCGGCATTGGAAATTTGTAACCTCGGAATCTGTCTAATTTCATAGGTTTGGAAGTAAGCAAGGTGGGATCTGACCTTTCCCAGATACTTCTCCATCCAAGGGTCTTTTGTCTGATAATCTTCCCTAATTTGATTCACTATCAGTTGCGAATCACTGAAAATAAGAAGATGGGTGGCCCCCAGCCCTTTGGCCATGCGTAGCCCGACAAACAAGGCTTCGTACCCGGCTTCATTATTTGAAGTGCGAAAGTTGAAGCGTAGGGCGTATTCAAAGCGCATGTCATCCGAGGCGAGGAGAAGCACACCTGCTCCACATCCTTTCTCATTCGAAGACCCATCCACATACACCGTCCAAGGCTGATCGGGTGTGGAGGTTTGAGCTGATGGAAGAGCGAGCTCGGCTATGAAGTCTGCAACAACTTGCCCTTTTATAGCCGTTCGGGGTTCGAACTGGATATCGTACTCGCTCAACTCTACGGCCAACTTCATCAAATGTCCCGATGTTTCTGGCTTGTGGAAAACCTGCTTTAAGGGAACATTGGTGAGCACAGTCATGGTATGAGCTTGGAAGTACGGTCTCAGTCTTCGTGCCGAGGTGACCAAGGCGAGGGCAAGCTTCTCCATCTGGGGATACCTTGTCTCGGCCTCGGTCATGGCTTTACTTGTGTAATAGACGGTCTCTGCTGCGTTCCATCTTGCTTAACCAGGGCCGAGCTGACTGCGTTACCCGAAACAGCCAATTACAAGTATAATTTGTCTCCTGGCACTGGCTTTGCGAGTAAAGGTGCCGAGGAGAGATAGTCTTTGAGCTTTTCGAAAGCGGCCTCACACTCGTCTGTCCATTCGAATGGCCCCTTCGTCCTTAGCACCTTGAAGAAGGGAATGCACTTGTCGGTAGACCTTGAGACGAATCGGTTGAGAGCGGCAATTCTACCATTAAGGCATTGTAACTGCTTAATGGTCATTAGCGCCTGCATATCAAGAATGGCCTTTATATTGTCTAGGTTGGCCTCAATTCCACGGTTATTAACCATGAAGCCTAGGAACTTGCCAGATGAAACTCCAAAAGCACACTTGGCGGGATTCAACTTCATCTGGAATCTCCAAAGTACCTCAAAGGCCTCGGTTAGGTCGGCCAAGTGTGACCTGGTCTGCTTGCTCTTGACCAGCATATCGTCCACATAGACTTCTATATTACGTCTGATCTGATTATCAAACATCTTATTCACCATTATTTGGTAAGTCGCCCCCGCGTTTTTTAAACCGAAGGGCATGACCTTGTAGCAATATAAACCTAAGATGAGTGGTTGTCTTCCTCTCATAGTGCCAAGAAGAGAATTGGCTGATAAATTATTTTCTCAGCTGGTTATAGGTCGAGATCGACCTTGCCGGCAGCCTTCGATACCAGCGCCGAGCACTCCCCATCAGAGCGATCTGGAAAGCTCGGCACTTAATGGCATCTCAGGCTACTCGGAAGTCCATGAGGCCTTCAAAGACCTCAACATAATCTTTTGGGTCCTTGGACCCATCGTAGGGCTTCATCGCGGGCGTTTTGAACTTTGAGAGGATAGGGGCCTCTAAGACATCTGAAGTGAATGGCGATTCGCCCATCTCGCCATCATCAAATGGGTTCTCCTTCCTTTCATACTTAGGCTTGAGTGCCTCAACCTGTTCGTCAAACCTATGCTTCATCAGGTCGAACTCTTCCCTGGTAATCACGGTCTCTGGCGTTAGAGGCTTATACCTCGATTGAGCTTTGAGGTTAGAGTTGGCATACTCCCGGGAGCAGGACGGAGAGTCCCCTAGACCTCGTGAGGCCTTCCTCTTCTTGTCAACGAGGTGCTTCATGAGATCATGCTCCCTCAAGCTATAGTCGACTCCCTC